GTTTTATAATATCGAGGTTTTTATTTGTCATAAATTGAAATAAAAATATTTATCTGCAACATTTCGTTATACCGAATCATTGATGCCCCCCCCCCCCCCCCCAAACCTTCGGTATAACGAGGTTTGACTGTAGTTAGAAATTGACGTTATACCAGCAACTGGAATTTTCTTAAAATTTTGCAACATCACTTGGACACAGCCAACTGTATGAACGAAAAATGGGTTTAAAGCTCGTCTCTCGAGTACCTGAATTTTTAATAGGAGATGCAGTTTCGCGAATTTCGTCGCGAAGCTCTTGTTTATAAAGATCGATTTTGTAACTACTTACATTGGACCTTGAACATAGCCAGCGTCTTTTCTTGAAAGAATCATCAATTTTGATGGATACGGCCAAATGGCTCTTCTGATGGATGACATATGAACTTGGCGTTATGTGACTCAGTCAATACGGTTTTTGTGGAATTACGAAACTCGATCCCAGGTTTAACTGAGTAAGGAAACCGCGGTGAAAGCCAAAAACTTTTAACTGGTAACAGCACTTGAATGCTTGTCCGACAAGGCGTAATCAGAAAGAATGATTGGATGGCCTAATAAAGAGACGCGAAAACCCAATTTGATTGACCATATAATGATATTTATTATTTGAACAGTTGCATTTTTATTTACTTCAGAATAATAATTGCTTTTTCGATTAACGTTCATCTTGACTTCATTTTTGCAACTTCATGAATTGATATAGTTCTGAAAATGTAAGCAAGCTTACTTTTTGTCGGCTGAGGTAGAAGATCAATTGAAATAGTGTTTCTTTTTTAAAGTGAGAAGAGAAGAAGGAGGGATTTACCAATCAGCGAAATTGGCCATTATTTAAAAGTCTGTACTAACGTGGGTTTATTGTTAATGATTGCCGTGCTTTAGGGTTAGAGGTCTTTGAATACGAACCACATATACGACAAAAAACCAAGTAAAAAAAGTATTAGTAGCAAACGGGATATTGAGAAAAATTAGAATCACTTGTAGGCCAACAGCCAAAGAGCATCCCTATCTTCACATTTACCGAAAAGAGAGAAACAAGAGAATTAATATGGCACCCAATCCACGAATTAAAAATGCCGATAAGAACAACAATGCTTACTGGGTCGTTCGCTGCATACGCATGTGCGTGTGGAGGCCTACAGTCCAATTGCGTAAATTTTGTCAAGGGTTTCTTTTTGTCTGTAAAATGCATTCAGTCTGTTCATGGTAAAAGGAAACAAAGTTATGATTAACGTCTGCTCGGAATATTGCCACCAACTATCTGACCGCCTGAACCAATGGAAAGTCCATTATGCGCCTAAACGCGATATCCCTCACATGCGCCCTCTCTCCGGGGTTCCAGTTACCCCTTCCACTACCTACTTCCTCTCTTTATCGAGTTCTGCATTCAGATAATGACACACTTGATGAAGACGGTTGAGCTCGTCCATAATGATGGTTTCTTTCTTTCTCATGTTTTGCAAGTATACGACAGCTGTGTGTCAGGGTTGAGGAGATAAAATGTAAAAAATATGCGTGGGTCAGCGAGAGAATGAGATGCATAGAGATAAGTAGTAATAGCAGATATAAAATAGAATGAGGAAATACAGAGTAGTGACGTATGTCAAAGTTAGATTATAAACGGCGATGCTATCAACTAAAGCCATCATAATTACATAACACACATCCACTTTATGCGCTAAGCTTTACGTTGTCACACCTCTCTTGATTCATCATTAGGAAACAGACACCCACTTTTCTGCAGTACGACAGCCTTGCTCATTTTCCGACCGTGGATACCATACGGAAGCTGTCTACGGAGTTCCTCAAACCCGTCTTTGATCTCGGCGCGTCGTTTTTGTTCGGATTGGATGTGAATACGTCGACGAAACTCGGCATGAGACAAAGTACTAAGAGAATGTGGAGAAGAGAAGAGAAAGATTTTAGCAAAAAAAAAAAAAAAAAGAGATGTACGATTATGACACAAGATCAAGTCTTATAATAACGCCAATCTCAAGAAAGAGATTCATCACGACGAACCCAAGTTATAATCCCACAAGCATTCTTATCAAATATCTGCATGTATGCTAGGGCATACCTATTTGATTCGTCTCCGTCATCTCCATCCAAAGAAGACGCCGTATCTCCCTCATCACGTCCCCCCTTCCGTCGTCTACGAGTTCCAGCTTTTGCACTCTCGTATTTTTCTTTGTTATATTGATAAAACTCCGTAACATCCAGCTCGTCCGAGATGGGAGAGTCGCGTATATCGATTGAAGAGAATGAAGCGGATGGGGCTGGTGATAACAACTGATGCGGGATGTTATCACCCAGCGTAGTAAGGGGGCCTAGTGTATATTCAGTAAACGGAGGGGAAAAGAAGAAAAAAAATGTTACGGATGGTTGATAGGCCAAGGGACTAGAGTTTGGTCAAAGGATCAAGTAAGCAAGCGGTTGTCATCAGTGATTGACTGATGACGATGATAGAGCATGAAAAATTTTAGGTATACAGTATCCTATATCATGCTTCTCTTGTTTCAATGCATACAGAATGACCATGAAAGCTAACCATGTGCGTAACGTAATATAAGCTTCCCTCGTTGTCCCATTCCGTTCTCTCGACCTCTCTCCCCTCCGTCACGTTAATACACGCATGTCGCGTCCGAATTTTCGTGTTTCTTTTATAATCGTAGATACCAACCTCCAGTATTGTGACTCTCTGTAGTGACCATAAATCCAGGGTGAGCATATTGTGAATATGACATTATTGACTTTTTTTTTTTTTTATGTTTTTTCTTGGTTCGTTAAAAAGGATGGACTGGGCGTGTTGGATGCTATCTATTGATAGTCGTTACTTTATTGAATAGCGTGAATATGGAGTATGGATATATAAGCAAATAGACGACGGGTTCTCTAGAAGTGTAAAACTCCAGGACGGGGATATGAATGTGTGTGCGTGTGTGTGTTGGGGATTAATGCGATCGTGGTGTTTAAATATAAATGCAGTGAGAAACCGAATTTTGTTTGTTGGATTGTAATCTACATGGCGATCGTGATTGATAGTTGAGCGATAACGAATGATTGGTTTATATAAACGGGGTTTGTATAATTATAATGTACTAAATATATATAAAACGTAAAAAAGGTTATTTGGGGGGTGAAGAAAAAAAATTTTTTTTTTTCTTTCCCAGTTGTTGTTTGACACATTCTCGTTTTATCATTTCGTGTCAAGTTTTTATATCCGATTCAAGTATTTCCAATGCCAATTAGCTCTTGGTACGCTCATAAATGCCATATTGCTAATTCGTTCAACAACCTTATCGTTGTCGTAATTAATTAACTTTTTTTCTTTTTGCGTGGTAAAGGTTTGTGCAAGTGGCGCGTTAGGAGTTCATGCAGATGTGTTGCCATGTGTCATCCCATAACATCACTACTGGAAATAGACAAATTCTAATAAATGCCCATTGAAGGATTGGATCAATATCACGGGTTAAAAGAGCATAATTATAGTTGTATTCCCTTGAACCGTTATTGATACAACCATGATGATATGACCACGATGAGTATGTAACCACGGAATAAAACGACATGAACCTTGACTTGACAATGCACAATGGCGTGGCCTAATCAGCCGGTTAGTCGATATTGGCATTATCATTGTACCGTACATGCCATACAAACAATACATATACAATATGCTATTCAAATATCCAACTGTTATATTATACATTAAATCTCCCCCCACTATCAATACTGATATCAGTCGTTATCAATCCATCGCCTCAAGATTAGAGTTTGCCCATATCGAGACTTTTTAATTCACATCAATGTGCGTTTTTTTTTTCACCACGACGACATTTCCGTGCAACTTAATATTACCATTTTTCGCCTTGTCACCAGTAAAAGATGTCACTCTGCATATCCATGCGAGAAAAACATTCAAATCATGAACCAAGGAGCGAATTATTTTACTGGAATCAAATATTTTTATACACGCCATGACATGTATTGTATTGTATGACAAGACATACTTTGCACATTCATATATACAAATACTCTCGTATGCTTTTTTGAATTTAAAAAAAAAAGAGAGAGAGAGAGAGAAACCCCTTTATTGTCCATTTTAATTATAAACAAGAAAAAAAAAGTCCATTCCGTCTGAATACCAAAGCAATCCGCAGAGTTTCCAACACTCAATGAGTAAAATGCTACGTGTTGAATTTAATGCTATCAGCCTCACCACTTCCACCCAATTGCTGTGAATGCTATATAATTCATCAAACTGTACATTCTCTTCAAAAACTTATCAACTATACATCGAAAAGAGTATCCACGCAACTCTATTCATAAAACTCGTCATTATGCACCCCTTCCTTCCCACCCATCATATTTCCCTCTGACACATTACCCCCCATCACCCACTACCACACCATCCCATCCCTAGTCCGTATTCCCACCACCATCCAATTCGATTTCCTGTCTATGCGTCTCAACAACGTTCTGTTCATTCTCAACACTGTTCACCACATCCACATCATTCACCCCAGCCCCACTCATCTCTTCATCCACCCCAATATCATCCATTCCATCTGCACGCGGATGATTCTCAAAGAATCGAGCTGTTAGCGTGTGCGAATATCTTCCGCGGCGAGGACGATATTCTGAGGCGAACTTGGATCGATAGACATCAAGAGCCTTTTGAAGCAAAATTTTCTTGCCAGATAATTTTGCTTGATTCAAGTAAGCCTGATAAAAAAGATGGATTTAATCAATAATCTTAATGACAACAGCCTGGTGTCACATTCTAAGCAATAACTATACAGCATAAAAAAATTCACATTTCACACCCTCTCCATTACCTCCACTTACCAACTTCCATCCAATTTCATTACACCAATTCTCCAGTTCCCACCTACTCCCTTGATACTCATCCTTTCCAGCAAGCGCTCTTGGATAAACGCAATTGTCTTCCTTGAACTGTTCTGAAAGATTCCTCGAATCCACACTGTCAACATCAGCACGGATCTTAATTCTGCTAACAGTTCCATCACTAACACTCTCAAACGTGAACGATTTTGCATACGACTTGTGACGCTTGGACGGGGAAACGTATGATTGATCATACGACGGCTCGTGCGTAAAGGCATTCGACGAGGATCCAACAGGGGAGGTAAGACTGTTGGAAACTGATAGCAATTCATAAGACGCCGACGGTGGCGAGTCTCGCGTGGTTCGTTTTCGTAACGTGCCATTGAGAAGTTTCTCATTACGCACAACACGACGCGAACGCATCGTAGGGTTACGATTACGGTACGAATCTACTGCGCGTTGAAGGAGACCTCGCTTGCCGTCAATCACACTCTTATTCAACCATGCCAACTTCCATCCCAACTCATTACACTCTCGTTCGTAACTCCACCTATTCCCCTTATATTGATCCTCTCTACAGTTGGCTCTTAGATATAAACAATTGTCTCTCTTGAATACCTCGTCTATCTCGCTTATTTGTACTTTGTCTATATCTACTCTTACTTTGTAATTCTCGTTTTGTCCTTTGACGGAATATGTAAATACGACATAGTGAATTCCGTCATGTTCTTCGAGTTTGGGATCTGTTGCAGGGAGAGCGTGGTTAGGTTTTGAGCCAGAATGGGGTTTTCCGGGTTGAGTGGCAGTAGGAGATAATGAAGGGGCAGGAGAAGTAAGTGGAGAGGTCAGTTGTGGTGGTAGAGGCGGTGGTGGAGTTGTTTGGAGTTGTTGCAGTTGTAATGAAGGTTGCGTTGGTGTTGGAGGTTGTATTGGAGTGTGTCGCCGCCGTTGTTGCAGTTGTTGGTGTTGTTGGTGTTGGTGTTGTTGTTGTTGTTGTTGCTGCTGCTGCTCTTGCTGCTGTTCTTGTCTCTGTGGGGGTTGACCTTGTTTTGACGAGTATGCATGCTGATGAACACGTGGGTCTGCATGGGGAACCTCATACTGGTGTTGAATTGCAGTATTCATGGATGAATGGCGATCAGAGCCGACAAGGTCCGGTTCTATATTAGACAGAATGGAGAAGTGAGTAGGTGCTTTTGCAAATCGTTGTACTCGAATTAATAGACGGTATCACATAGACAAATAGTTTCACAATCGACAGGATTCTTTTTTAATTCCGATTTCCAATGCCATGGTTTGGCTGTTCATCACGATTTTGACCATAAGTTTTAATATGCCTTCAAAATCGCGTTCCTTCTCCTTTTTACCGTCCGCCCACTTATTCCTGGCATCAAATTCTTACCTATTACCATGTTATCCCTCCATCTTTCGTTTCTCTTATCAGTGATCTGTTCTCTTCTTCCATTCTCATTGCCCGTCATTCCAACTTTCATCAACATGTTCTTTGCAGTCGGATTCATCACGTCAACATTGTTGTAAACTCTGTTGCTTCCCCCACCACCATTATTTCCATTTACCTTTTTGTGCTCTTTCATTTTCTTTCTCTTTACTCGCTGAACTGTCTTTTCGACAATCGCCAACTGCTCTACGGTCAACGCACTAAGAATTTCATCAGTGCGTGCATTGGAAGTAAGAAGATCCGATAGGGTCAACATGGGGGTTGGATAGTGGTGATGCATGTTAGGTGAGGGTGACGAGATAACGGCAGGTAGTTGCGTGTAAGAGAGACGGGATGGCGGTGGCTGTGTTTGTGGCTGTGGCTGTGGATGATATCCTTGATTGAGGCTATTATGATGGGCGTGATTAAGACCATTGGTATGCGTGTTAGCACGTCCGTTCTCAAACTCGAATCTCTCGCCTTCTTCTGTTGTTGCGGTTGTCGCCTCGTATTTGTCACAGGTGGTTCCAGTCGAAGCGAACACATTCCCTAGTGCATTCGACACAAGAGTGACTGGTTGTGAGGCTGACCCGTGGTTAGTATTGACAGTGTGGGTGGGCGATATGCCTGCCAGTGCATTTGATGCTGATACCGATGTTGTTACTGTTGTTGTTGTTGTTGTTGTACTCGTTCCCTGTGTTGTACCTGTTGCTGGTATTGTTGATAGTTGGGTTGGTGGTGCGGTATTTGCTCCTGCTGCACCCGTGGCTCCAGTTGTCACAGGTGTTGTAAGACCAACCATGGCTATGGGTGTGCTATTTGGTGAAGTGTCCAGAGACGTTGCTGCCAAGGAAGTGCGAATATGCTTATGGCTGGTCGGCGAAGCAGTTTTTGTTGTTGTTGTTGACAATGTAGGTGTGTGTTTGTTTGTATGGTTTGTTGGCGTGCTCGTGTGACTAGTTTTCAGTAGTATTTGTGTGTTGGTAGTGTTGTTCGAGCTATTCTTTAGCATCGAGAAAGAGACCGAGCGCAAAAGAGAAAAGAGAGAGAAAATGAATGATTATCGCGCGACAGGGGGAGCTGGAGAATGATTTGAACCCCTGGTGGAATGAGGAGTACATACAAAATGCTGTATTATGTTGCTATTGCAAACATAAATATATTTAATATATATATATAGTATACACCGTTATACTGTATGCCCAGTTCGGGAGGGGGGGAATTTCCTGATGTGCGATGAGGATCCCCTGGACCATGAGAAAATAAGGGTTGAGTTGGACGGCGAGTGATTGGTGCTAGATGATGGTGCTACAACTACTGGGGACAATAACCGATAGGAAAGAAAGAGCAGATAATAGAGGGCGGAAGAAAGAGAGAGAAGAGAGAAAGAGAAAAGGGCCGACAAGAATGTACGATAAGATACAATTAAAGAATAAGGAAAATCGAGCACACAAAGTATTGATGCATGTGGATCCCCCCAGTACAATAGCACATTGTCTAGGGTCAGTCCTTAAAGATGGCGCAGCTTGATTTTAATAAATTCTGGTAAGTATTGTACTATAGATCACGTGAGAATTTATATTGTCATTTATTTGTGTGCATAATATTCTTATTATATCGCCAGTTTTTTTTTCCCCCTTCTCTTCCTTTTCCATACTCTTGTTGTACTGATTGTCAAGCGTCCCATTGTAGAGTTTTCATTTGACTGTATTACTGTCCACTGCTCTATTGGCCGATGTGTCCTTGCATCAGTTGCACTGGTCAACTCCATGTTTATATACTCTATTAGTCCATGGATTATTCGTTGATCGACATTTAACTCATCATCTCAATCGGGTAATCTGAACCATTTACAGAGATCGGCATATGTCATCAAAATTTGACTATGAAAAATGAACGTTCCTGCTGGGGAACCCATGTCTTAGATTTAACGCCCCGAGTTAATCAATTTGAAAAATATGCGTGAAATTTGGACAACAAAGCAATCATGTGATGTTACAACAGTGGTAAAAAAATTTTCGGTTTGTAAATACCAAATTCCATGATTGGTCTGTTTCGGAATTTCTAATTAAAACTTGCAAAAAATCTGCTATAACAGCTGCCTTTATACCCTTTATATGTGTTGTCACCTAAACCATATTCTAGAAAAAGCTACCCGCGACTCTTGTTTATACTCTTGTGGACTACGTTTTTAAAATTGCTTTGTCAGTCTCAAAACAAAACTGCATCTACGTCTAATTAGGAGCATAGTCAGGTTTTTACTAACGTTGATATTGTTCATCAATAAACAACCGCTTCCTTTGCACATTGTGCAGTATCGTCTATATTGTTCCACGATATTATCCGATAGTATGAAGTCGATGTAAGAATTCATTTTGTTGTTTCCAAGCAGTGAGCGGGGAAAAAAGCTGTTCTCCGCTGAGCTGCAAGTAGTATCGATATGGCGAATAGTGTAAGTAAGTCTTTAATAAGCAGCAAACATACAATGAGTCTTATAAGACTCTAGGTGATTTTCATAGTAAAAGTGAATTAGTAAATCCTAACAATTAGAATATAGGTCATTCTATTATCGGTGTGGTAAGCAAATAAGATTGGATACCAAGTCGGTAATGTGGATAATGCACGTGACAACTAGCACTGAACAATACATCAACAAACTCAAAAGCCGTCTTTCGCGGTTACTCACTATATGTCTATTTCACGAGGGACTGTTGCTATTATCAGCGTATATTCCCCTCTTGTATCACATAACATTCGGTGAGACGAACGCTTGTTGATGTGTGAATGCACAAAGAAGCCACAATTAAACCGGGGCTATATATTGAGATCGATGATGCCTTATAAACGACTTCACGATGGAAATGTCACATGATGTTAGTATGATTATTTGAGAATCAATAATTACAAAACTGTCAGTTAATATTGATTTTGTGTGTCCTTTATTAGCAACAGCTAATGTTAGTTAACTCTATCATCTTCTCTCTTGTACTTTTCTCCCATAATCAAAGACAGATCTGTATAGCCGCGCATGCTCACCAATATCTTTATCTACCAATAGAAATATTCGGAAGAATATCACCAAACAGAATTTTCTAAGAATTCCTTCATGGTTTTGAATTCTATTATCATTTCTGGATTTAGTTAGATGCTCGAGTAATTTCCGGAATTTGTACATTTACATGTTCAAGCTGGTTTTAACATGGGACTTGCTGCAACAAAACTAGACAAGTGAACATACTGCAAATTATTTTTAAGAGTTCAAAACTTCTGAATGCCATAAATTATCCACGTTATATCACCATTTATTTTGGTCTGTATTCGTTAAACGATAAAGCATAACTAAGATCATAGTAACCTTTGCATGATTTTGACACATTTGCAACCAAAGAGTCAAAATAAATTTGGATCTTGTAAGCATGATCTGTTAATTTTATCATACAAACAGATGATCCGAAGGTTCTGTTCATTTTGTCATTCTGGAGCAACTTAAAATTCACTATTTTCTTTGCTAATATCATTTTTGACATCTTATTATATCAATTGTCGTTGTTTATACGTTTTCTTTAATCCAAAGCTGAATTACCGCTCTATCTTTTTGGGAGGAGGTCATTTACGTCACCAATTAAATTATATTGAACCCAAATAGGCCTTTTTATCATACAATCGTTTCAGATCTTTCAACGTTTCAATATCGAAAAGAGGAATTTTATTTTGCCAATTGGTTTACTATTTATTACCTTTCTGGATTATATAGTCACAATTCATGTATCTGCATGATGGAGTCGACCTTTATAAGTCATGCTATAAGAACGTTTGCGAAAGTAAGCATTCTTTGTAAGGCGTTATTGAATGTGTGTTAGCTAACAATATTTATGGTGTCTTGAAAGTAGGTAAATTGATAATAAATATTCGCTTATTCTTCATACACAGATGACCTGCGAGTTTCTGTGCATTAATGATTGCGCTCTGTATATGGCAGTTGTAAACCAATTTTTTTTTCTCTCCATCCACAACGAAAGTTAAAAACTGCTAGACAAACATGGACTTATAACTTAACTAATAGGGGTTTATGACAGAAGGCGACTCCAAACCCTTGATGAAGAGGATAGTAGTGGTTGTAAAAAAAAGGCCTCAGAGAGGATGGGTTTGTTGTGGTCGTCACCAGTAAGAGAATGTAAGTTTTCGTTACACTGTTTTTAATAACATGCCTAAATATTTCTACCGTCGAATTTGGAGAAGCTTGTATACAGAACCCACGGTGACGTTTTCACTTCTTTTCACTTTCTTTCACTATTCCACTCTTTTACTCTTTCACTATTTCACTATTTCACTTTTCACTCCTTCACTCCCACTCCTTAATGAATCTCGAGGCTTGACGTAGCATAACTAATTAATTATTATACAATTGTATTTAGGGCTGAGGAGCTTATAAAAATATGATACCATAATAGCAACAGTCCGTAGCACCTATTACTATAAGAATCGGAAACCGGGGAAACCAGTATCGCAAACCCGACATGCGCATCAAACTACCCAAACCGGGTCTAGAAATAGTATTTCTAGAGAGCTCACGCCTACGACCAAAATTTATTTGGGATTGGGCCAAGTTAGTGCGCATGTGTAAGGAAAGTAAAATATTTCAGGAAAACTCTGCTGTGCCTATCGTAATGATACAAGTTTATTGTCTTGAGATAAAAATTGCAGTGTTAGACAGACCTTATTGGATGTAAATGTTGGAGAATTTTGTAAACCGCTGGCTTGTCAGCTGCAAAATCACGTTGATACGCAAGGATTTCTTCCAACCTCGTGCTCCAAGAAACCCAAGTGCAATGAGTGTTGACGATTTACCCACTCATGGAACTCCTACTCTGTGTATTATTATATAGTAAAGCCTTGACACCAAGACTAAATAGATAGTATTGATTGTGATATGTTATATTGTTGTTTAATAAACAAACAGACATAATTTAGAATGGGAATCGTTATTATTATACAGTCAAACCTCTTTATACCGATACGAGTGGCACGCGTCGTTTCTATCGGTATAACCAGTTTATCGGTATAGCTGAAGAAAATCTTATATCATAATTAGTAAACGGTTTCAAAGACTGTATCGGTATAAAGAGGTTTGACTGTATAGTGATGAGATCTCTATTGGGTTGAGGTAGTTAGTTGTCTTATGTCTGTAATGGTCAATCAGAGTATAAAGTGATTATCAGTTAATAGTAATAGTTGTTGTGTCTGAGAGTTTGGGACCTGTCTCAGTTCGGAACCCAG